CCACAGAGTTGATGTGATCAGTGAAATGTTGGACTTCCTGGGCCATGTGATGTGAGTATCAGTCACATGGAGGCAGGGTTTAAAAGCCTGAATTTTGCCTGAAACTCTCAGACTGAAGAAGTCTCTTGGAGGAGAGACGAAACATTTCATTAGAGAAGAACCCGTCCAGAAGACCTATACAATTTTTTTCTTTTTGATTTTTTACCTGGATTACTGATCAGGACATCTCTGGTAGTGGCTCACGGTTTAGCTATGTTTAAACTTAAAATTTTTTTTTGGGGAAATGGCATCAAATTTCCCCAGGAGGTTGTAACAATGACCCAGGATACGGTCATTGTCCTCACATGAAATGAGTATTTTTTTTTTTACCAAGCTAAGATGCTAGGTAAAAAGTGATACAGAGGGCTGAGTTTGCCCGGAAAAAAGTGCAGCCATGGATGTCTGCTCCAGAAGTTTTATTGGAGGGAAAAGTCCAACACAGGACCACCTGGACCCCATCACTGTACTTTGTCTCTGAACAGGTACAGTACAACTTTTTATAATGTTTTTACTGTAGCCTGCTGGTAGATTTACTTTTGTAGCATCCATGCTAGCCTCAAATAGCGTTCTACTGTAGTCAGTCACACATACGGTAATAAATAGGGGTGCACCAAAAAATTGATTCACACCAGAATTGTGATTCTCATTTACAATTCAGAATTGATTTAAAATGCCCCATAATTGGTAAAAGTAAATAAATAAATAAAGCAACTCCAATGGCTGTCAGCCGTAATTTTGTAACYATGTGGGATCTCCTGATGTCACCACACAGCCAGTTATGGAACGCATGCATGCGCAGAAAAGAAACTACAAAAAAATGGAGGAAAGGGATTCATCCTGTCCCGTAGATTTGGGCTCAGTTTGTTTTTTGCTGAATGAGTGAGTTTGACTTGAGCTTCACTGTGTGCAAGCTTTGCAAAATGAAGATGAACCCGACACAGGGGCTCACATGATCCGCTTTGAATAAAAAAATCCATTTTAAATCGAATCGTGGCCCAAAAATCAGGATTGAATCGTGAAATAGTAAAAGATTTCCACCCCGTAAGTGAGAATATTACTACTTACATCAATTTTAAACATCAACTGAACTTTCCTGTATTTTCTSAAGTCGATGTGTCAAAATTAGCTTTAAGAACATCTTTTTCTGGTACGACATCAACACAGACTCTCAGATGTAGATATTAAGATATTATGTRTTAATAACCTTTCCACAGAACTGCACYGCTAAAGGTCTGAACTATCCCTTTTAGGATGACGTAACATGCTCTGTTAGAATCAGCTCTCTGCAGTGTTTTCAGGGAAGCCAGCTGCTGTCACACAGTGGAAGTAGTGGAAAACYAAACTCTTGTGGTAATGACGGCTCTCACCAGCCGGCTCCTCCAGTCAGTGTTTTCACACTGGATCAATAAATGTGTCAACTTCTCTCTGAGTGGAGCCCATTTCATGTTGGTCCAGTCATTGAGTGGAAAACACAAACAACCTCGGGTTTCATCAATGTCTTGATCAAAAGGGGAGCGACTGGAAAAGAAACTCTCAGACGGATAATAATCTGAATACATGTATATATTTTCTGGGGGAAAAATAACATTTTCTTTAAATTTTGTGTTTAAACTAAATTAATATATTAAAAATTGATTTAACCTGCTTAGTAAAGAAAAAYAACAACTGCTGAGCCACAAGGAGCCTGCAAAAACATACTGTTCAGCCTTGATTTGAGATTTTTTCTTCAGAAAAAAAAWTTCTTTATAAAGCTGATCAGTAGATGTTTCTGAGTTCATGTTACTGTTACTTCAGCAAGTCAGATATAGCTCAGTAGCCATTCTGGAATGAATGTGATTATCTTAAACTGAAAATGATTAGATATTTGAGGAAAAGGCCCAAAGGCTGCGTAAATGAAGAGTCAGCCCGTTTCTTTCGGCCTTTATTAGAGTTTAGCCAACCAGAAATGGAATAAGATAACACTAACTTTTAATCAGTGGAAAGCATCAAAATTTTTGTTGATTTAGTGCCTTTTTAAGCCAATTGTTTTTTTAAGTTTACTGTTACTTATATTGTAAATGTATTTTAAATGTTTTTAAATATCCTGTTTCATTTCTGTCATGTTTTACAGCTTCCACTGACCCTGCTCATTAAGAGAAGAGTCATGTGAGGTTTTCCCTGACCTAATATGGACTTGGAACGATGTGATTTGTTCCACACTTTACACTCAAAAAGGGGGGCATGGAAAAGGCTTGAGAATGATTTATGAGTTAGTTCTAGGCTTGGAAAAGTAACCAACATATTTATAGTTTAAGTACCGTGTTTGCCAGAGACACAGTGTACCTGAATGGTGTGTTTTGGTCAGTAGATGTTTGCCACTGGCCATCTGTTCAGCTTGAAAATGGTGAGAAAAAAAAACCCCAATGAACTCATTTTGCCATGTACACATTTTGTGTGTTTTCGTTGTGTGACCTGAAAACCCTGCACCAGCGCGTCCCCATGGAAATTACCGAGACTTCTGGGGGCATGTTTGTTTACAGGAAACATGGATAGAAATGGAGACCAGGGACTGTGTGACAGTTGATGACAAATGCTGAAAATTAAGTTTTCTACCTGAGGCTAAGATGTGGCTTAGATCTGCAAAATATCAAACACAGGTGAGATTAAATTTAAAAAGCAGGCGCTCCACTTTTAAAGCCATCTTGAAACCAAATCTTAACATGCAAAAGTATGAAGAATGGATTAAAGACTTATCTTTACCTAAAGTTGTAATTGTGGTATTTAGTTTAAAACTCACGGTAGAAACCTTAAATTAAAGTAGCATTGCTTCACAAAGACGACATGCTGTTTTTAAGTTTAAAACCCCTAAGCRTTTTCATTTGTATACAGCCTCTGGACAGAACTTTTTCTAAACATTATGTTTGGCTATAGAAGGAAAACTGACAGCGTTGACATCGAAAAAGAGATTTGGGATTAAAAAAAATAAAGTGACATTAAATAAACTTATAATACTGACATTACGCTGCAGCTTTTGTTTSAATGAGACTAGCTTTCAATGCCAATGCAGAAGTTAGTTATGATGTCACTGCAATTTGTCACTGTATTTTTTTATTTTTTGCATTGGTGAGCAGGGGCAAAGCCAAAGGGGTGATTAGGGTGGCAAATGCCGGCCGCCCCTGGGAYCTGATTGGCCACCCCAGGTGCCATGCCCCAAATATATGACAAGTGGGCTGGGGATTGCATGTGGCTATAAGAGAGGGTCATTTACAGCAAAAACAGTAAATATGTATTTAGTATTTATTCGTTTCATTAATAAAAACACACTACATACAACAAAACAATGGAAATCAAATAAAATGAAAGGCAGCAGAAGAAAAATATCTTATATCTGCTCCTATTTACAACAAAAAATATATATTAATTTCAAACAATAAGCCAAATAAAACAAAAATAAAAATTCAACTCCTCAAACAGTAACTCATGCAAATACAAATTAAACAATTTCATATTTCTTTAACAATTTTGCTTTAATAATTATTTAAAGGAATTAATTGATCCAATGCTTTTATAATCTTTTTCCAGATTATTCTATAGTCTTATACCTTTTACTGAAGTGCATCTGTCCTTCAAATTCGTTCGAATTTTTGGTTTATATAATTTTGGTTTAGAAATATCTGTCAAGCCGATGTATTATCTGGTGTAGAGGGAAACTATCGGTGTATAAAGAAAACGTTTCTAAACCAATGAATTAATATAAAAACTTCCACCACACTAAATTTCAGCTCAATGGGCCTCATGCAAGAACATGTTCGTATTCTTATCCTAAATTTCTCTTACTTTTGTTCGTACAAAGGGTTCGTACGAACATGTCACGTCAGATTCAACAAACTCTTCTATCTTCAGGAAAAGTGTGTAAATGAACTGCGTAATTTACACCTGTTTGTATCCAGCTGCTCGTGCACGCGAGAGATTACCACAATTACCACCCCAAAAACACCATATAAGGCTATGATTCCTGCCTCAGATATCAGGTAGTGTCCATTCATGAAAATGACAGCGGGCCAAATGTGGCCCACGGGCCTTGTGTTTGACACATGTGCACTAAGAAGTTTCACACATTATTTAAACTCCTTGAAATTAAATTTTATCTTCAAGTACACTTTTTATTTTTTTTTCTTTTCTTGCCCATTGGATCAACTCCCCACTGTTGGTTTCCATCTGGATAAAGCACTCAGCTTAAACACACCAACAGAAACTCCAGGCTCACAGTCTGCAGCATCTCCGAGCACTGAAACAGAACAACCTCTCTGACTGATAACCTGTTGAGTTTTTGCCTCGTTTCAGAGCTTATTTAAGCTCGAAGCRTTTCTCACCTGAGTCTGTTAGCCTGACGGACGCAGGGTAATAAGATAATCTGACTATCACTGTTTTTCTCGAGCGAAGCTGCTGCAGAAACTGTTAAGATCTCGAGTTAATGGTAACTCTTTCCGATGGGAGCGCCTGGCATTGATAGATGAGAGCAATTGAGCTCCAGTGCAGGCTAATTAGTGGCGATGATGATGCACTCTGCTGGTCCTAAAGTCTTTACAGACGAGGCGTCGCCTGTCCATCATCATTATTATTACCCACCTTTATACTTTAAGTAAGGAAATCTCACATTTCTCTGGACTTTAGTGCACACAGTGTGCTTGGCACACAGTCCCCGTCYATCACCGTCAGTCATTGAGAAAACGCTCAGCCACACATGAAACTATAGGGTCATAATGTTGTGTCACAGAGGTGGACACCTTCCCCTTAATTCGCCGTTATTTCTCTTCTCCGGCTTGTTCTGTCTCTCCTCTTCTCCTCCTCCTTTTCCGCTCGGGCCAATCAGGCCCCACCTCCATGGCAACCGTCAGCGAGGGTAAAACATCCACAGATGGTGTGGAGTAGAGTGAGCAGCAGGCGCACTACAAGATCCAGTGTGGGAGTGTTTGTTTGTGAGAGACAGGAGAGGGAGAGATCCAACAGGGTAGTTTCTAGTAGCTCAGAAGAAGGAAGAGAAAAAAAAGTGTTTACACTGAGGAATTGCAGGGAAAAGTGACAAGAGGAGGTRCAAGTGCAGGTGGAAAAATAAAGGAAAGTCAGTTTATTGGAAATAGCCGGGAAACGGAGATTAATGACCTGACAAAAGCCCGCGCGACRTCCCCCATGGAGCAAGAGAGTCTGTCCACTCACTGACGAGCATCTCTCCACGAGGTCCACGCTGACACAGCCAGAAGTGTGGAGGAGACGAGACAACACCTGCCCCTTTCTGTGGCGCTCCATCAAACTGTCTCCCCACTCCACCCCACCCCTGAATTTTTCATTTTTAAAACTTTGAGCTCTTGCTTTGAGCACTGACACCTTTCAGGAATCCCTCTCCCCGAGGAGCAAAGATGAGCTGCAGGAAGAGGTGCAAGCGTGAGATCTTCAGATTCGCACAGTACCTGTTCAGACTCATCACAGGCACGCTCAACACCGGTAAGACTTCCAGTGTCTGTGTGCGCTCCTCTTTTTTATTTTTAAACCTCCTGAGGCTTTTACACCCAGTGTTCTCTTCTCTGTGATGTTTTTTTTAGTTAGGATTGAGCAGGTAATACAATATTATCTGTGTTTTATCTGTCATCTATGAGACAGTGGGAGAATAAAATGAAATGTAAAGGACAAACGTTAACAGTGGTGAAAAAAGTTTATTCCATGCACTTTATGTACATCAGATTTTGACTTTAAAGAGCCTACGGTGCCAGACGTTTGTATCAGTTTTATATTCATTCAGTGGCTTTAAAAGAAGCTGGTCTAAAGAAAAAGTTGTTAAATATTGTTCCTCATCATTTTTTCCTGCTGGTATCATGCAGCAAAGAGCAAGAGATGCCTCTCGGTTTTGAGCCTTTCTAATAAAACCAGCTAAAAATGAGTGGATATAACGAGATTAAATGTAGATTAAGAAGGATTACCTTTTCAAGGCATCTATGAGATTCTAAAGGTTAGAAGCAGGAGTGTTCAGTGGTTTTTACACATTATACAGAATTGTTCAGATCTATAATCTAGACCAGAGCTGCCCAAAGTGGGGCCCGCGGGCCATAAATGGCTCACGTATGCCATTTGTTTTGGCCCACCAGCAGTTGTTCAGACTACTAGGTTGTAATCTGTTTTATGTAGAAACACTATATTTTCATTTTATCATTCTGACCATTGATCCAACTGGGGCTGTGGTGCAGATAGTCTTAACTCATGGTATGTAATTTATCTTTATATTGTATTATGTTATATTAATATATTATATATGTTATTATATATTATATTATTGAATTAAGATTAATCATAAAATACAAGTAACTACAAGAGACATTTAGATTAGAATTAAGCACACACCTAGATTTGCACACTATTTAAAATCACAAATACTAAAGTTTTAATTTATGAAAAGTCCAATGAGCCTTTTCTGCCTGAGCATACATCAGATTTTCTCCGTGTCCATGAGCTAAAAAAAATGGAACCCTGACTAGGTGTAATATCAGTCGTTACTTAAACATTTACTTCAACCATAAAACAAAGACCGTAAAACTGTAGGCTTAGGTTTTATACATTACAAAAAATACATATTGTCAACTGGATGGCCACATTTAACGCTACAAAGCATGCCAATGATGACATCTGCTAGGTGTTCTGGTGCAAGATAGCTAGCGAGCTCTATTCACCGGTTAATTTTGGACAATATCTGACAATCAGCACTTTTAAATGAAGCCAGAGTGTGCTGACAGAGCTTCACAGAGAGGAGGAAGAAAGAACTCAACCTCAAACTGAAAATGATGGAGGACAGCAGAGCTGCTGCATGGAAGAACCTCAGCTTAGCCTGTTAGCGCCCGAGCTAATACACATATAGGCAATATATCGTCAGTTCCAGAGCCAACATTATTATCTTGAGAAATAACAATATATTTATATGATGTGTATGTTTTAGCTTGGGTGCTAACATAAAAGCTAACAGGCTAAGCTGACATTCTTCCATGAAGCATAAAGCTTTGCAGTTTTGATAAAATTTTGCCCTCCGTGTAACAATATTTTTTKAAAAATGTATAAAAACTAAACAGCCTACAGTATTTTTGCAGTCTGTGTTTTACAAGGTAATTATTTATCAAATGATGACTAATCTTAYAAGTACTGGGGGTGAACTTTTGTGTACTGGTGTGACTAACAGCAACATACTCCCTTCTAATGTGTGTTTTTCTGTTTTTCTTTTCATTAGCTAAGTTGTTTGCCAGGCTGCATAGTGTGAAGCCTTGTAGAGTTTTATAAATATGTTGGAATAAAATGTGGTTTAGAATAAGATTTAACATTTTCACAATAGACTTCTGGCATTTGAGTTTTTTGTCCCATTGATTTAATGAGGAAATTTAAGCTTTTCGCTTAAACATTTTGACATCAGGTCCATTGGAAAGGTTATGAACAATTATCTTACCTGTTGTAGACAGCTATTTAAAAGACCTCAGTTTGAATGACTTTAAGCTCTTCAATCTAGTCCAATWAAACAGTTTCTTTTTAAACTTGGCTTATTATAAAAAGCTGTCTACAACAGGTAAGAACTGCTCATAAAATAGCTTCAAAAGATTTGAACTCTCCCTTTAAGCTGATTTGCATCACCATGGCCTATTTCTTTCAGTCTCCTTGACCTTAGAGATGCTGTGAAGAAGTGGGGAGGACGAAGAGCAGCCTCATCAGTGGACTGTGCTATAAAAGGAGTTCATGATTTCATCTTTCCTTTCATGTCACTCATATAGRCTTGTGGGTATTGGCAAGCTTTTGTATTTGCCCGTAAATAGTTTTTATAGCCACCAGCAAGTCGTTTAGTTCAGATTGAAATCCCCATTGTGTGATTAAATGATTCGTGTGCATGTTCAGGAGTCATTTTTCGAAATGCCTTCAATGCTGTGGTTAATAAAATGTAAAATTGCTTTGTACAGGTTTTGTGCAATATCATGCTTGGTTGTCCGTTTCCATACCTATTAATTATTGATCATGTTAAATATGAGACYGGACTTCATTTCCTTTGGGAAAAACTCAGCTCAATATATGAACTGGAAAAATAAACTCTTTCTGGGGGTTTGTGTTTCCTCATAAGACAATCCAATACGTATCCAGTTTCATTGGGTACATTGTGTTATTGGACAACACATTCTCATAAAACAATGATTTGGTTTGATGCAATGCAGTTTAACATAGTTTCTAACACTTGTTTCAAATGTTGATTTTAATTTTCTACTCTACTAAGGAGCAGGGTAATAAGTTGCATTAGTGACCTTCAWAGAGATATCTAACAAAGGAGATAAGTGCGTACAAACAGAAACCTTGATTCTGAGACATTTGTTTTTTGTGGTCTTATCAACAGTTCTCCAGACTTTCAGAAAGTCTTAAAGTTTTTTGTTGGACTTAAGTTGCTTTTTGATACCCTTTTTGTCCAGTTCTTATTTTTTTTCTTAAAAATCAAGTTTAAAATGGGTTCCTGGCTAAGTTATGTTGTTGGTTCATTATTTTGAATTTAAGAGCATCTTTTATGCCCAAATAATTCATAGGTCAAAGTTAAACATCTTGGCAAACAAGCAAAAAATGATGAAGCACGTCACTTAAGATGTGAAAATCTGTCAGTCTAAAAGAAAATTTTGAAAAGGCCTTCAGACATTTTCAATCATAATCYCTTTAAAACGTTAAAATCTGACTTCTTGGAAACAAAATACAAAGAAATGAAAGATGACTCGGTCAATGCAGTACTGTTTATCCAACAATGACTAACTGATTAGTTTAAGCAGATAAATATTGTTGCAGTTTTTCACAGAAAAAAATGAACTTTGAAGCAACCAGCTGTTTTCAAAACTGTTTTCCATCAGAAACATTTACGTCTTTTGTGTGGATGGAGCCATCAAATAAACATATCAGTGCTCAGCATTAATCTTCGACACTTCYATGAAAAAGTCATGATGTATTTCATTTTAAAACTCATTACCTCTCATTTAGTAGACCATTTCGATTTGTGTTTGTACATCTGCAAACACCTCATAATATCTTTTAATTTTCCCCAGTCTGAGGTGCTGATGGTTATAAATGGAGTTTGACCAGAGCAGCACTGGCATGGTAGTGTTGGGGTGACCAGGGGACGACGATAATAGATGGAGTCAGTTAGCAGGCCAGAAGATTGTAATTGCACTGTTCACTGTCCTAGAACAGCCCAATCACTTCATTGATTTTTTTCTTTTAAGTTCCCAAGACCAGGACATACACAAACACACACGTTAGATTTTGTTGTGCTGCCATGAACAGGTTCAGTTTTTACAGGCGTTTGAACAAAACGTGCGTTAAAGATCCATGTTTAACATTAACGTTCATGTAACTGAGCACGCACAGCACTTATCCTGTCTCTGATATGAAATCGTGAAGAAAATCCATTGAAGTCATTTGTTGATCAAAACAGACCTTGCGTTTTGAAAAAGGAACTGGTTAACCAAGTCAGCGGGCCGTCATTGGTATTCACACCATCGCTGCAGCACAGCAGGTCGTGAATTTTCTGAATGTAGACTGAGGGGAGAGCGGGAAAAAAGGAGGGGAAACAAATTACAGACGAGCAAGTTCTTCAGATATGAATCCAAACAGCACTGTCAGCATATATTTGCTCATGTATAAAAGGCAGGAAAAGTTATTGGGTGCACAAACTAAGAAATTGTCATCTCCTCCAACCTCTGCAACACAAAGTCGAAGCTGGGGCAGCGACTCATACACCCAGGATCATGTAGATCTCTTAAAGCGGTGCTGTTTATGCTGCCGACTTATTTCCACTGTCTGCTTTATAATCAATACTTGAGCAATCAAATACTTTAAGCATGTCTTTTCACAGGTCCACCATTTGGGCTTTGGTCAGTGTGATCTGTTTTGTGAAGCTTCCCCACATCATCAGTTCATTTCCTCCCAGAGAGTCTGGCTGTCAGACATCCCAACATCTGCAATGCATCATTTCTTTCCCCTCATCAGGGCAGACGTACGAGTTTGTAAGTGATTCCGGGCACATTGTTAGATATCTCAGGTCCTTTTTCTAACTTCAGCTGTTGGAAAATGATAGTTGTGAAGTCTATCCTCACTTCACAACCAGGACTTTGACAAGTCTTTACGGATTGCATTGATCCGTTAATTTATTCAACTCGTCACTGCAGTTGTTTGGAGCTCAGTGTGCCGGAATTAATTTGCTGGTTGTGTTTCTTTATAATTAAACAATGTTTGAGAGTTACAGTGTTGATGAGCTTCCAAATGCTTCCGCACTGGGTGCGGTGGCTTGCAGGAAATGCTAAACAAGCTTATTTTCCTTAGACCTCTACTCAAGATGTTGCGTTTATTGCTAAATCAGCTCAATTGGATTTTGTTTGTCCAAATTCTGCTGTTGGTGTGTGGTTTTTTTTTTCTTTCTGTTTTGTTCCATGAGTTGATTCAGACAGCTACAG